CTGCCTCGCCCAGGAAGAGCGCAATGATGGTGCCAACTTGGGCCAGTGAAGCAATGTCCTCCACAACTAGACTGAAGAACAAAACGACAGCAACTTGTTTGTTCCCCTTCCCCCAATTCCCCAGCACTGTTCCCATCCCAATTCCCCAATAAAAATCTTAAGAAAAAACAAAAACAACTAAAATTAAGACATCATTGAGATAGCATTTTTGGCTCCATGGACTTATAACTAATTTTTTATAAACTAGTTTAAAAAGAAAATTCGAGTTTAATAAAACTAGTTAAAAAAACAACAAAGATTGACAATACCCAGGTTGGCAAGGCCATGGGTAGCTGTGTACCCACTGGTGGTGGGCAAGTGCAAGATACAGTCTTTCTAAAGGACAATTTACCAGAAGCTATTAAAATGTGCACAATTTTGACTTGGCAATTCCAATGCCAGGTATCCTTCATAGAAAACTTGTCAAACCCATGTCCAGTGGCCTTTAGCATTATCATAGCAAAAAGCTGCAAATAACCTATGGACATTTTCTCCCCATCTCTACTATGGGATACTATGCAGCCATTTTTTTAATGAAGCAGACCCGTATATACAGATATAAAATTATCTACAAGACACACCATTAAGTGGAAAAACTAGTTGTTCTACATTATGCATAGTATGATCCTATTTAGTAAACAAAATGAAGTTACATGTTTTCATATGGATAAAAGGAGGATTCTTTTTGTCTATGGACTTCTGAAATATTTACGCTTTTATGGAAATATCTTTGTATATTGTTTGTATGTTGAAGGAAAACATTCAACAGGAAGGAAATGGGTAATGAGGCTGCAGGGTGTAGGCCCGGGGGAGTGGGTTTTCAATGATGGGACGACAGCAGAGCCGGACCAGGGGTGGGGGTGGGGGTGGAGGCTGGGGTGCTATGAGACCAAAAGCCCTCCCTGGGTCCCTGCCCAGGCCCACTCACAGGGGTCTCACTGCTGCTGTAGGCAATCACCTCCAGCACTGAGTTCTTCTCACAAGTGTCAATGCAGGACAGGTCATAGAGCGAGGAGTGCACAGGCCCGTAGGCCCACTCGGTGAACTTCCGGGACAGGTGCCTGCACTCGGGCTCCTGGATCTCCCTCTGGAGAATATAAGCCAAGACCTGCCATGGAGATACGAGAGCTCATTAGAGACCAGCCTGGAGCCCTGCCCTAGGCTGTGTCCCCACTGGGCCACCACCTCTGCTTTAAGAATAATTCTGCTTCCTAGCCCAGTTGGAAGCCCCACCCAAGCACCAAGCACCACTTCCATCCAGAGGCCTCCTGTCCACCATCAAGATCAATCTGCCTGCTGCCTCAGACTCCAACTGCAGCCATATCAGAGCCATCACCTGACCACACCTGTCTGATACATCCATGTCACCCTCAGCTCAACCCACCCTCTTCCCCAGGCCCCTGCACCCCACCCCCTCCTCATGTCTTCTTGGTGATGCTCAGAGTTAAAAATCAGATATGGCCACATGTGTGATACTGGGTTCATTCAGCTCTCACGATTCCTCTGGCTTACTCTCACAGCCTCCCACCTACAGGCTGCTGTGACAGCATCAGGGTTCACACGGAGGCAATGCCAGGCACACACAGTGAGGCAGGCAGTCCCTTCCCACAGCACCCCCAGCTCAGCATGAACCCCCTCCCTACCCCAATCTTCCCACTACTCGCGGCCAAGGCCAGGGGCGTCAGCCCCTTCTTGTTGGTGAGCTCCTCCAGCTTCAGTGTAGGGTGGAGCTTGGCCCCCAGGATCAGAATCTCATTGTACATGGTTGTCACAAACTTGGTGTTGTCAACTGTGTTGTCAGCCACCTCCACCAGCGCGTGCAGCACCGTGTTGCCCACCGAATCCCGGGCGCTGATGTCTGCCGGCTGCCAGGAGTTCTGCAGCAGGAACTTCACAATGCCCAGCTGGTTGGTGCATGCGGCCAGGGAGAGGGGCAGCTCACCTATGGTCAACACAGGCACATGGTGGGTCTCAGGGACAGACAGCTTGGGTCCTGGACTCCCAGTCTCTAACTCCCTCTGTCTCTGCTCCAAACCTCCCCTCAGCAATTGTCAAAAAGCCAAGTGTCTACCCCATGGTCTCCCTACCAAAGTAGAAGCCAGGCCGCCCTTCGATTTTCTTAAAGAAGTCCCCATTGGCTGCAGCCTGGACGTCTGCACCGTTCTCCACCAGGAGGGTCACCAGTGGCATGTTCCGTCTCTCAATGGCGATGTGCAGGGCCGTCTGGCCTGTGAAGGGTGCGTGCTGTTGGTATTGTGCTCACAGTCCTGCAGGGGTGCCCACACAGGTGGGGAAGGGCCTGGGCAGAAAGTGCCAGATGACCCCCTCCACTGGAGGAGTCCAGGCCAGAGACCCCAAAGGGGGCCCAGGGAGACCCTAAGGCAAGAGTAGAGACCCCCAGTAAAAGGGTCTTGGAGCTGAAGGTGTCAAAATTGCCCAAGGTCAAGGAACAGTAGCAGAGAGGGAGGCCATGACTTCCAGGGACAAGGAACTCCAAGGTCACAGAGGGGAGGACGGGACCCTCAGCACCAGAAGAAACCAAGACAGCAGGTGGGGGAAGCAGGAACCTTAGGACCAGGAGATGCCAACTCAGTGGCTGAGACAGGGAGTAAGTTGTTCAGAGGCTTGCCCAACTGTGCCCTTCTGGTTTAAGGTGTGCTTGTGGCAAAGTCGTGCCAACCCCGTCGCCCCTCACCCTTGTAGTAGCTGTCCGTGTAGCTGGCATTGACAAGCTCTCTCAGGCTGTCCGTCTGCCGGGCAATCTCCAGGAGCAGGGGGATGGTGTCATTCTGCCCATCATGCAGGTTGAGCATAGCTTTCAGCAGACAGGTCTTCCCTGTCTCTGGGTCTGCAAGACAAAGGGAAGGTCAGAGAAGGGCGTGGCTCTGGGGCACCCTGGGAACCCGGCCCTCTGTGAGGCCACCTTTGAACTCGCTGTCCATGAGGTGCTTCTTGCTCCTCTGCAGGAAGAGCAGCAGGCTCTCCAGCTCCTTGCAGTTATTCTGAGCGACAGCTTCGAAGATCTTCCTGCGGTCATAGAGCTTGAGGCTCTTCTCAGCACCAGCAGGGATAGAGTCCTGGGACAGCTGCCTGTAGGCCAGAAAACACCTTTGTTGCATATTCTGGTCTTGCCTCAGGCCCAAGGCCTTCGGAGCTTGTTGGGGAGCATGACGAAACCCCAAGGCAAATCAAAAGGGAAAAAAACATGATAAAAAAAACCCACTCGTCTGTCTAAGTGACCATCCAGGAAACGGATGCAACAGGGGACTGGGGGCGCACACATGCCCCCATTCTGTCCCCACCCTGTCTGTAGGCACCATTTGAAAGTCTTTGATACTGCCACTTCCTCCAACACCCAAGCCACTCACTTTTCTGTCAAAAATCGTCCTCACACTGCCCCAGAAGTCAGCCAGCCCATGTGCCCTCCCTGTCCTGCCTTAGAGGAGGCAGGAGGGCTGGAGGGCTCCTCGCTGGAGCTGTTTTGTACTCTGTCTAAAAGCATCCTTCCCTTGAGCTTTTTGACTGTAAATTAAGTGTTTGGGACTGAACACCTAGAGATCAGCCAGCAGCTAGGATCAGCATATACATATGCCAGCATCCATTGGTGACCATGTGTCCTAAAGGTCCTAGGAGGGCAGATGCTGGACCAGATGGCCTCCAACGGCTCCCCAGCTCTCAGCACTATGACCTTCAGCCCCCAGGTTGGAGTACCACAAGGTGTCTCCATGGCTGGGGCCTCAGCCAGCGGAGCCAGTTGGGTTCCTGATGGGGAGGGGCAGGGCTACAGACACAGCTTACCTGGCACAGGTGGGGCCATCCCCAGTCTTCTGGAGAATAAAAACAGGGCTGACTGTGATGGCTGGGCAGGAAGCTGGCTGGCCTTCCTCGTAAGAGCAGTCCATAGGAGAAGCCTCCTCCGAGTCACATTTCCCAAACAGCCGGCTGCGGCTCTTGGTCGTGGGGAAGACGTGGGCCTTGGCTGGAGCTGGCCTGGAGTTAGGGTCTCCATCCAGGGGATCTGGGCAGGAGTTCTCTTGTGGCAGATCCTCAGACTCCCCTGAGTCTGGATTCCCCCATTTCTTCATCCTGGCCCAAGAGGCAGCCTGTGGGCAGCCACCAAGATCCGGTTTGTTCTCAGCTCAAGAACTGTACAACGCCAGCCCCAACCTGCCCTCCTTGCAAAGGCCCCTGTGAAGCAAAACATTCCAGAGGTCCAACACTGATGCCTCCAGCCCCCCAGAATGGAAGCTTCCAAGGGTGCTGTACATCCCCGGAGACCCAGGTAGCAGCCCCATGGGCATCAGCCTCCGGGGGTGAGTGGGCCCCAGGCTTGGAGCTCACAGGCTCTGAGGGACTTGGGTGAGCCACTCCTTTTCTCTGGGCCTCAGCTGCCTCGTTGCAGACTGGGGATGATACCACTGCTCTGCCCCCTGCACGATCAGAACAAGGGAAGTGGCCTTGTCTGGCTGTGCATTCAGGGAACAGCTCAGTGATGAGGACGCGCAGCCCAAAGAGCCGAGCAGTCTGCATGCCCGGGAATGGGGTGGCTGGCAGAGACCGACACACTCACACTGCACTGCACAGGCCCTCCTGTGCCATGTGTCCCTGTCAGCCATGCACTCGCCTGCCTTCGCCGCTGCAACCATTGAGCTTGTAGGGGAATTTTTTTGTGCTTTTTCTTTGTCATTTTGGTGAAATTAGTATTGGTCAAGCATCCTGACCCTGAACTTTTCTATTTTAAGTGATTGGGGGCTGGTGGACCTTCTAGGCCTGAACATGTGGAGTTAAGCTGACAGTGAGTGTCAGCACACAGGGCTGTAAACGTGTGTTGATGCTGTTTTCCACTCCCTTCTTAACCTCACCTCCTGCTCTTCCCCTCCATCCGGCTGGGCACTCTCACTCCCTGGTACCTAGGGCTGTCCCACATCTCAGTGGCCTTTGCTCCTGTACGCCTCCACCAGGGGTGCTTTCTCCTCCTTTTCTTGCCCAAACCTCACCACCTCTCAGAAGCCACCACCCCTCAGGGTCCAGCACTTATTCCACCTCCTCCATAACCCCTAGTCCCTGCACTGGTCATGCTCTCTTCTCCTCCAGCTCGTGCCATCCACATGGCCCCTTAGCATGGTCCATTCTGCAGTCTAGCAACTTCCATCTGTCATTGCTTTATCTCTCCCCTGCCCCGTGACCTCCTCCTGGGCAGGGCGCTTGTGTGATCCAGGTCTTTATGAAAAAAAGTGATGCTGGTCACTGTGGGGGAAATGAGAGAGATCGAATACAGACTCTTCTAGTTCCCATTTACATAGGAAGTTAGGGAGAGTCGTGTTCCAGCACTGGCTGGATCCCAGAAAACAGCCACTGAAGGAATGAGAGGCTTCATAAGAACTATACTTTCAAGTGAAAATGCAACCTCAGAGCACATGGCTGAGCCATGGCACTAAATCAGCTACGACCTGATGCCCAGATCCATGAGGAGGAAATGAGGTGGCCTCACCATTCTGCACCCTGTGAACAAGAGAGGCAGCTGACTGCCAGCCCGTTTCCTCTTCTGCCTGTTCTGCTTTCGGGAGAGCCTGAGTCCTCTGATTCATCCATCAGGTGGAAACCCTGCAGCAGGAAATGTTCCTGGCCACAAAAAGCCCCACTTCTAACCACTCACTCATTTGTTCACCCATCACTCAACACCCATCTACTGAGGCCTACTGAGTGTCCAGTCCTGTGCTGGGGCACAGAGAGAACTCAGACCCCATCTGAGACAGAAACCAGGTGCCGGCTGGGGCATAGGGGTGGCAAGAGGGACCAGGGGGTGTAGTCCCTCTAAGGAGGAGGTGACGGATGAGCTGGGCCAGGTAAGGGAGGAGGGTTGGGCTGGGACTGGGGAAAGGGTGGGGGTTTCATAGTAGATGATGAAGAGGAAGCCAGTGGGGCTAGGGGATAGGCAGTGGGGTCAGAACCAAGGAAGGGTCAGAACCAAGGAACAGGATGTGGGCATTATTGTGTGGATGGTAGGAAGCCATGAGAAACTTCAGAAGCCTGACACCCGCTACTAGTCTGTGCTTCCAGAAGCTAACTTCTCGTCAAGGACTGTTCAAAATAAGGAGAGCCTGTCACCATTTAAAAGGCACAGGAGGCTCATGAGAATGAAAATAGTTGACGTGTTTGAGCATGTGCTGTGCAAAGGCAAGCGCTGTTCTAACATTTCACACACATTCATTTGCTTCGTTCTCACAACATCTCTAAGAGGTAAATATTTTACAGGTGAGGAAATGGAGGCACAGAATGGTTACGTTACTTGCCTGAAGTCACACAGTCAGTAAGAGGCCGGACCTGGATTTGATCCCAGGCAGCCTGGCTCCAGTGCATCTCCAGCTCTCTACCGCTTCTCTGGAAGGCTCAGGGCTCTTTCTTGGCCATGAAACTCAGCCCCAGACCTCACACCCGGGCCTGGGGGCCAGGCCATCCCAGCCCGGGTCCAAGCAAGTGGGGACAATGCCGTTCAACTTAGAAGCCCCAAACCTCTAGCACCTTACTGTATGAACAAGCATCCCAGGAAACTCAAAACCCAAAACAAAGGACGAATAAGACCCAGGCCATATGCCAAGACATTCTCCAATGACTGCCTCCCCTTGGATCAGGCTGAATAAAAAAAACAAAGAATAAGCGTGCTACCTGACTAGCAGCTCTTAGCCCAACAAGAGAGTACCTGTTATAGCAGGAGGCTCCACCAACCTTTCAGTGATGTTCTTTTTTACCAGCTTCACCTCTTCCTCTGGACCAATCCAAATCTAACCCAACCCAGTAAATACAAAGCAGCCCATATTGTACCATCATTCAGTCAGTCAACAAACCCCAAATCTGTACTATATCTGCTGCATCTGATTTCCTACTGGAAACCAAGCTTCTTCCAGAGCAGGCAGGGCAGGACAGGGACTGAGAGGCCATTTGCTCTGGGCTGGGAGGGTAGACAGGGACAGAACAGCCTGTCACTGCCAGGCCTGGGTATGTCCAGCACATGAGCCCATGGCAACACACCTGTCACAGCTGAACATTCTATATGTGATGGGAGAATTCCAACTGTGATTTGGGGTGTCTGATGGAGATGGTGGTTCTGGCTTACATAAGGTTCAAAAACTCACCAATCTGAACTAAAGGATGGTCCCAAGAAAATGACCCTGTCCGGCAGAGACCTGGTTCAGCCTCTGGGTCTTTCTCAACTCCAGAACCAAAAAGGACACTGCTCTCCCCCTGGGAGAAGCCTCCTTTTTCTCTCCCCAGTCCAAGTGACACATTCTGGGGCGTGGCTCTCCCACTCCCCTCTCTGCCCAAAGCACCCATCTGCCTCCAGCCTCCCTGCAGGCTCTCGGGAAGTGACCCAGGACCCAGCCCTGAGCATTCTCATCCCCTCAGCCTACCTGAGCATCTCCTAAAGAGGGACAGAGAGCTGGGGACTTCCCAACCCATGGATGAAGAACCAGAGGAACTCAGCCAGAGAGAGAGAGAGAGAGAGAGAGAGAATGGAGCCTGGAAACAACCCAAGGATCCTGCCTCCCAGCCCAGCCCTTCTTCACTACAGAGAGGGCAACACAGTCAAACCTCCAGCCACAAACCACTGGCCTCAGCAGCAGCCGCAGGTTCTTCACCCCAGGATGACTCTGGTGCAAATAATACACATGGACAATAGCACCCTCCACTATCACTTACCAAGTGCTTACGATTCGCCAGGCTAAGTTCACTGCAGTTACAGCATCACTTATGCCTCACCACAGCCTTTGAGGCAACCGCTGTTATTATCCCCAGTCGTCAGATGGGGTAACTGAGGCACTGAGAGGTTAGTTGAACTGCCCATAGACACATAGCTGGAAAGCGGAAGGGCCCAGCTTTGGACCGCTCACTATGCCATTCTAAACACTCACATCTGTGTTGACCATCAAACAACAAAAGGGACTCACCAGCAGGATGCAGGCACAGCCCAGACCCAACAGGTGCCGGTGAGCTCTTGAAGGCTGTTGCTATTCGAAGGAAGAGTTGGGCTGGTGTGGGGAGAAGAGTTGCCTCCCCTGCCTCTGGGAGGATCCTCGGCCCTTCTCCGGGCCACGGCTGCTCTGCACTGGCAGGGATGGGCTGTGGGCACTCTATGGCACTCAAGGAAATGCTTCCAGCAATGGCAGCAGCTGCTGTTGCCGCGGCTCTGATTCCCAGAGGATCCCAAAGCCTTTCCCATCATTTTTGCCCTTTTTTAGAAACCACTTAGCCTCTGCCCCTCCTCAAACCATGCCAGGGCTGCAGTGCACTTAGCCACACACAGCCCAGAACCAGCCAGAGCTGTGACCTCAGCTCTCCAGGCAAGGGGGCTCTGCTCAGGCCCCCCACATCCACCACTCTTGCACACCGCATTGTCTGGGTTCTGGGGAAAACGGCTCAATAAATGCAGTTTCACAACCAGAATGTAAAACCCAGCACCCTGGAACTGCTCCATTTGCAAAAGGCAAAGTGAATGGGAATGGTCGCATCACCCATTAGGCAGCACTGACCTGGCATTTAGAGACTTGGTTTTGAGCTCTAATTTTGCACCAACTTTGTGTGACCTTGGACCAGTCCCTACCTTTCTTGGGCCCCCCATTCCCTGGGTGCCCAAACCTGGGATGGGGTTTGAGGTGGGAGCTTCTGTGCTGGCCAGGTCCCAGCCTTTCTCAACCAGGGTTCCTCAAGGAACCACGGAACAAAGAAAATTGCATCCATTTTCTCACTTCTAGTACCATCAGAAATGCACAGGAGCAAAGTTAATTCATCACATATAATAGGGCTTTATTCCCTCCGGGAACCTGGCTGAGAAAAGTTGCAAAGTCTTTCTGGGTGTTCATACAGACTGCAGCCCAAAAATTCCAGAAGCTGCCTGTAGGAACCCTAGAGGACTCTAGTAAGCCATGGGTCAGACACAGCCTGAAATGAGCAGCCACAGGCCAGAAAGGCCCATCATAGCCCTGCCTGGAGCAGCTCACAAGCTCTGATCCTGAAGTCAGGCTGTCAAGTGCAGACATCACACGGATTCTGCAGGACATTTGACACTTTACAAAGAACTTTCGCAAACCCACTCTCCGAGGCCACA